TGCAACCCCTCCACCGGGCACATACCTGAGAAAAACATTGTCTGAAAGGATACATGCAACCAGATATTCATGGCAACTCTGTTTACAGTAGTTAAGAAATGGAAGCAACCTAAATGCCCATTGACAGAGGGATGTATAAAGATGTGGTACATATAGACAATGAAATATTACTTGGCCATTAAAAAGAATGAAATAATACTATTTGCAGCAATATGGATGGACCTAGACATTGCCATGCTGAGTGAAGTAAGTCAGACAGGGAAAGAGAAATATTGTATGATATCCCTTTTGTGAGGAATCTAAAAAGACATAGACAAATGAACTTAGTTATAAAACAGAAATAGTCTCAGAGAATGAACTTATAGTTGCCACAGAGAGAAAAATGGGAGGAAGGCATAGTTAGGGAGTTTAGGATGGATATGTACACACTGCTATATTTAAAATGGATAATGAACAAGAACTTATTGTATAGCACATAGAACTCTGTTCCATGTTATGTGGTAGCCTGGATGGGAGGGGAGTTTGGGGGAGAATGGATACATGTATATGTATGATTAAGTCCCTTTGCTGTTCACCCGAAACTGTCACAGCATTGTTCATTGCCTCTACTCCAATACAAAACAAAGTTAAAAAAAAATAGAAACAGACTCATGGACAGAAAACACACGTATGGTTACCAAGGCAGAAAAGAGGGAGGGGAATAAATTAAGAGTATGGGATTAACAGATACATACTAGAACATATAAAATAGATAATTTGCTATATATCATGAGGAATGATATTCACTATTTTTAATAACCTATATGCTATATTCCCATAAAAATAAAAATATTTTATTAAAAAAGAACAATGTGGAGATTATTACGCTGATCCACTTAAGAGATGAAGATAGTTCAGATGAAGGGTATGGCAGCTGAAATGGAGAATAGTGGGTGAATTCAAAAGATACTTAAGATATAAATGTGTCAACATTTATCAATGAAATGGATGTGGATAGTGAGAGTGATTTTTCATTCCCACCCCAAAGAAAGACAAGGCCAAAGAATGTTCAAACTGCCCACAATTGTACTCATCTCACATGCTAGGAAAGTAATGTGCAAAATGCTCTAAGCTAGGCTTCAACAGAAATTCCAGATGTCCAAGCCGAATTTAAGAAAGGCAGATGAACCAGACGTAAAATTGCCAACATCTGCTGGATCATCAAAAAAGGAACAAGAGAAATTTTTCCAGAGAAATATTTCCAGAAAAATATCTATTCTGCTTCATTGACTACAATAGAGCCTTTGACTGTGTGAATCACGACAAACTGTTGAAATTTCTTCAAGAGATGGAAATACCAGACCACCTTGTTTGCCTCCTGAGAAATCTGTATGCTGGTCAAGAAACAACAGTTAGAACTGGAGGTGGAATAATGGACTGGTTCCAAATTGGGAAAGGAGTACATCAAGGATGTATATTGTCATTCTGCTTATTTAACATACATGCAGCATACATCATATGAAATGCTGGACTGGATGAAGCACAAGCTGGAATCAAGACTGTGGGGAGAAATACCAATAATCTCAAATATTTCCACCCTTATGACAGCAAGCAAAGATGAACTAAAGAGCCACTTGATGAAAGTGAAAGAGAAGACTGAAAAAGCTGGCTTAAAACTCACCATTCAAACAATAAAGATCATGGCCTCTGGTCCCATCACTTCATGACAAATAGATGGGGAAACAATGGAAACAGTGACAGACTTTCTTTGCTTGGGCTCAAAAATCACTGCAGATGGTGACTGCAGCCATGAAATTAAAAGACCTTTGGTCCTTAGAAGAAAAGTTATGACAAACCTAGACAGTATAATAAAAAGCAGACACATCACTTTTCTGACAAAGGTCTGTCTAGTCAAAGCTATAGTTTTTCCAGTGGTCATGCATGGATGTGAGAGGTGGACCATAAAGAAAGGTGAGCACCAAGGAATTGATGCTTTTAATCTGTGGTGTTGGAGGAGACTCATGAGAGTCCCTTGGACTGCAAAAGATCAAACCAGTCAATCCTAAAGGAAATCACTTCTGAATATTCATTGGAGGGACTGAGGCTGAAGCTGAAGCTCCAATACTTTGGCCACCTGATGTGAAGAACTGACTCATTGGAAAAGACCCTGATATTGGGAAAGATTGAAGGCAGAAGGAGAAGGAGATGACAGAGGATCTGATGGTTGGATGGCACTGGCTCGATGGACATGAGTTTGAGCAAGATCTTGGAGTTGATGATGGACAGGGAACTCTGGCGTGCTGCAGTCCATGGGATCATAAAAAGTCAGACACAACTGAGCTACTGAACTGAACTGAAGTTTTTATTTCAGTCATTATAACAACCCTATGAAATAGATGCTATTATCTCCATTTTGGAAACACAAAACTGAAGTTTAGAAGACTTAGATGATTTTTTTCACGGTTTTACAGAATCAGAAAGTATCGGAATTGGGATTTAAATCTAGTTTCTACACTCTTAATAATGTTTTCCTATTGTAAATGTGTATATTGCAGGGATTTCAAACTGCAACTCATGGACCAAATTTGGTCTGCTGCTTGTTTTTGTAAATTAGCTTTTATTGGTATATAGATATACCCAATATACTATAATGGCCTGTTTTAATAGTTATGAGAGAAAGTGACTATATGTTTTGCACATAAATTATTTACAAACTAGAGTTTTACTGAAATATTTTACCAATTCCTGGTCTATAGGTGTCAACTTAAACCTTTTAAGATCATCCTTGAGGAAAAGCACTAAAAATATGCCCAGAATTTGCATATGTTGGTACTGGGTGCCCTTTCAGTGAACTGATGAATGAATAATATAGGCTCAGAAATCTGACCTAGCTGGCTTCCTGCAGCCTTCACTGTGTTGACTCAAGCATATCTATAAGATCTGTTTATTGTTATCATTTGTGAGTCAGAATACAGGTCTTATCCCTACCTCTCCCTCTCATAAATGCCTTAAAGCCTGGACTTGGATCCCAGCTTAATGGGTTTGATCTCCACCTTCCCATCTCCAGCTTCAAGGTCCACATTTGTGCTAAGTGGGGGAAGAGGCAGATAGTCCTAGGGGCTGCTGTTATCTGATCCACCTTCCCTTGATCATTTCTAAAGGAGCTGAATAAATGGTGGTTCCTCCCTTCTCCCTACTAGTGCTTCTACTTGGCTTAGTCTGAGGTGCAGTCTGTAGGGGCAGCTCCTAAGGGTATAGGCACCTTTAAGCACCTCCAGTGTTTTATGACCCAGACTTTGCCCCACTGCCTCAGTCTTTGAAACTCCTCCTCCCTGGACCCTGCTCCAGATACTTTAAATTCGAAAGAGAAAAAAATAATGTGTCGAGACTGCCTGGGGAACAGCACCTGCTCCTAGCCAAGATCAACTCATCACAAGTAAGGATACTAGATGGTGGAACTGCCATCATACCTGTTTCCTTCCTGTAGCTGATTCTGATGGGTAGATGTAGTCCTTCCCAAAGAGGCATGGGGTTCTCCACAAATTACTCTGCACCCACTCTTTTCTTACACTTCTCATGATTAAAACTTCTTTTTTCTTCTACTCTTAATAAGATATTAATACTCTTAATATCTTCTACTCTTAATGTGGCTTATTCATGTAATCCTAGATATGTAAATTTATAAGGCTGAGAGGGTCTATATCTAGTTTAAGGCCCTCAGTGTACAAATGGAAAGACTTAGGCCCAAAGAAGAGAAAGTCCTGTACCAAGGCCACATAGCTGATTACTTCAAGAGCAAGCCAGGGAAGGAACCTGGGTCACTTGACTCAGGCTAGTGATTTTTCACTACGCTCTCTTCTGTAGCAAGGATAAAGATGGCCTTTGTTTTTTAAAAAAAATCAGACTCCAGCTTCACTCAGAGACTTTGGGGCCCATTTTGATATTTTTTAGTTCCATTTAAAAAAATTTAATTTTTCCAATTCTTCTGGGTCTTCTTAGCTTTTAGGGTGCTTGTCTGTGTTAATCCAAGCTGTCTACTAGCTGCATCCGGTCTCCACAATGAAAAATATGAGTAATATGACCCTGGGAGTTCACTCAAGGAGCTGCTAAAAATGGCAGTGGCAGAGTTAATGTACATTTTTTTTTAATCTAGCAGTGACTGGTGGACAGCAGGCATTCAATAATCATGAAGTCACTTCCCTCGTTGCAAAAGGGCTTTCTGGGTTTCTCCCTTAAGTAGCAGAGTGTGGTAGTGTGGTGACTAAGAGTTTAGACAGACCTAGTTTAATTCCCCCTTTTTATTAACGGGTGACTTTGAACGGTTACTTTCCCTCTCAGAGTCTGCTTTTCTTCAGTTGTAAAATATGAGTTAGCATATTTGTTTCACAGAATAATTGTGAAACTTAAATGAGAATGTATGTAAAGTGGTTAACATAGGGACTAGCATGTAGAAAGCTCTTTGTTTTATTACCAGTTTTATTTTTCTCTATTACCAAGCAACCATGGCCTCAGAATAATAGCAGGACTGATAACTGTGAAAGAGTTAAGTGTTGGGGTTGGGGGCTCTTCTCACATCGCATAACCCTTGCAGTGGGTTCTATTTCTTAAACAGGGGTATTGGAATCTTTCTATGAGCTTTCACTAGCTTCACTGACAGTGCATTTCCTCCTCCCTCTCAGCAAAGAGCAACCAGCAAGCTGAGATAACAGAATTGCAACCCACCCTCTTGTAATTCCTCCAGAGATCCTAACCGGGATTTGAAAAACACCCGGATATGGTTAAAGAACCATACCGGGTTTTGTACCAAACCAGGTCCGGAAAGAGACATTCCAGTAGATTAGTTTCTGGAAAAGAGGGCACCCAGAACTGCCCCAGCCTCCATTCACTCCTCCCCAGTAACACCAGCCAATTGGAGCCCTGGACTTTGTTTATGAGAAAGGCCTTGTAACCCAGGATACTAACTGAGCAGGGCTGGCAGACTCATGCTGGGGTCTGCAGTTTAGCCTCAGTAGGCCGCTGACATGAATATGGAAGGGTTTTCTCCAGCAAAGGTAAGCTTCCCCCGCCCCGTTCTAAACCCTACCTCCTTTTCTTTGAAACAAAAAACAAAAAAAACAAAAACAAAAACCAAAACTTTTATTCAGCTTGGTTTATAGAAATTCTGGGCCCACAGGGAGAGAAAGTCGGTGGCTGAGAAGAAGGAAGCACGGCTGAATGTGCAGGGAAGTTAAAGTGTAAAATATGCTCTCTTTGTTCCTCTCATCAAAATGGCCAGGGACACACTGGCTCAGATGTTTCAGAGATGATCCTGGAGTTGTAGAGAGTAGTTAATTTTCCTGTTAAAATAGTATGCTCATTTCTTGGTCTCAGTTTGTGGGGTTTATTGAGGTGATGGAACACTTAAAAAAAAAAAAAAAACACTTTCATACTTTGAGATCCAGATTGGCACAGAGCAAGGCAATAAATGATAGCTGAACTAACCTATCAGCTTAAAATATAAATTGTTTCTCACACTTAGTGCCTATGTAGAAGAAATGTTTTAGAAAATATGGGTTCAAATTCTGGCCTTGCCAGTAACTGATTGCTTGGCTCTAAGCAAACCCCTTTATCTCTCTGGTCTCCGTTTTCTATGTCATGTTAAGGGGTTTAAAAAGTATAGTATCTAGAAGTTTTTGTGGATGCATGAATCCATTAATGCATCCAGACTTTTATTAATCATTTATTGTATTCTAAGCCCTTTGAAAGGGGCTCATACATCCATTATTTTCTTTGATCCTCAAAACAGTCTTGTGAAATATTATCCACAATTTTGGGTGAGAAAACTGAGGCAAAATAGGTGAAATTGACATGTTGAAAGGTACATAGCTATTATAGGCAAGAAGGAATTTCAACCTAGGTCTTATAGTTTCATATCAGTATACTTTCTATTATACCACAACTAGGGTATGAGGAAATTAAAAAAAACCTAATATATGTGCACATATGTAGTGAAATTATATTGTCCTATGAAAAGCACAGTGATGATATACATGATTATCAGGCTAAATGATCTTAAGATCTAGTACTAGCTCTTGGGACTTCAAATGAGTCTCTCCCTCTGGGCCTCAATTTCTCCACTTCTGACATAGTAGAATACAATGATGATGATTAAAAATAATATAAATTGTACTTGTGCTATATGGAATCTTTTGAGGCTCTCAACACTCTCTTGATTTTCCCTCCTATTAAAAAAAAATCCCATACCACCTAAAGGTGAGAAAATCCTCTATTTTGAGTCACAAGGTGAAGAAAAAGCAACAAAAACATTAAGGAAGTGGAAGACCGAAAGGCAATCTTGATAGAGGGTTCTATTAGTAAGACTGCTGAAGTTGGACAAGACCTCAAGGATAGCTCAGCAGTTCTGTGTTCAGTTGAGTGACCCTTTGTCCAGGATAAGCTTGTCCAGGCCGGTCTACTCCAACTCAGAGAGAAAAGAGCACTATCACATTAAAGGAACAACTTGCAAATTCTAGGAAAAACAGTGATGCAAATTGTGGATAAAGGGGACCAGGCCCAGGTAACATTGGGATGACAGGAAAGTAAGGTTTGTCTAGTCTCAGTGTATGTTAACTAAATTATGTCTAATTCAAAGTATCCCAGAAATTCTTTCTTTCTCTCCCTCCCCTCCTTTGAGCTCTCTCCCTACCCTTCCTTCTGTCCTCCTTTTTTACTTTCCTCCAGGATTCCTTCTCATATTATTTCATTTCCCCTTTCCTCTTTTACCTTTCCCTTTTATTTTTTCTCCTCAGTCTGGTCTTTCTATAAGATCTCCTCCTGTGGGCTCAGCTGATAAAAAAAATAGCCTTCTCCAAATGAATAATTTATGTAGGGCTTTCAAATCCTTCATCTCATTTGATTTTCATAGCAAACTAATCAGGAGGCCAAGCCAGAGATTATCTCCATTTAAGAGATGAGAAAACTCAGGTTCAAGAAACTAAGTGACATGTTCCATGTTATACAACTAGTAAATGATGATTCCAGAGTTAGAATCTATTTTTTCTGAGTCTAGAGTCTTTCAATTTTACTATGAAATATCCAAATGATTCTAAAATAATGTTATGGGTTCTCCCTTTCTTTTGTTTTATAATAATAAACCTAATTTAAAAACAACAATAGTAATAGCAACAACAAATGCATCTTTGGGAATAAAATAGGAAGTTAGTGATTAGAGGAAATGAGAACTTGTATTTATCAAATACCTACTAAGTCCCTATGCTATTTCTTTCAAACACATTTGAAAATAATACTCAAACCTGAGTTTATCTGATTCAAAAGTTCTGGTTCTTTTCATTATATAATTATGCTTCCAAAGAAACTAATCTTAGCCATATACATGTGCCTGTATGCTTACAATGTGCTATTGTATATAGGAACTTATGAATGTGTTTGTGTTATGGATATCCATAAAATGTTAAAGCTTTGTGAGCCTGGAAATTTTCATTTCTAAACCTATTTCCTTATCTGTAATAATCATAGCCACTAATGCCTTTTGGTCTTTTACTGGTGGACTTAAATATTTATTTGTGTTCTATTCACTTATAGATCTTATTTCATTTAATCCTAACAACTACCCTGAAAAGTAGTAAATGATATTAATTCCATTTCAAAGATGAAAACACAAGGGCCAGAGAAGTGAAGCAGTTTATCAAGTCACACAGCTAGGAAAAGTGAAGTCAGGGTTTGTTTAGGTAGTTTGATTCCAAAGCCTGTGTCCTCAATGTAAAATTTATCTGCACGGCTCCCATCAAAGTATCTTTCAATAGATACACAAAGACTTCTAAGATACTACGTCCACTCTCAAGGAATTTATAGTCCAAACTGTTAAATAAAAACAGTTCATGAGGCAGCTTATGAGACAAAAGTAATAATAGTACAAAGTCTGACTTCATGCAATTTTATGCTATTGAGAGTAAGTAGTTCTTCAAAGGACAGTGATATGAAGAGGCTACAGGGGGCCTTATGGAGCAGATAAGATTTAACTTAACCCTTAGAGTGGAAATATATGATGTGTGGGAGACAGTAAAGATAAATTAACAGTTGCCAGGAGGGAGAAGGAAGAAGAAGGAAACCAACAGTTATAGTTTGTTATATTCTAAACACTAATTGTCCTGGGGCCTTTTCATATAAGTTTTCTAATTTACTTCTCCAAAGCTTATAGTATTAGATATATTTTATAGATAAGAAAACAAGTTCAGAGTGCCTAAGTATTATCCAAGTCTACACAATTGGTCAGCAGGAAAGCCAGGTTTTAGAAGAATCCAAGGCAGCGTGCTTAGTCATTTCAGTCATGTCCGACTCCCTGCAACCCCATGGACCATGTTCTGCCAGGCTCCTCTGTCCATGGGATTTTCCAGGCAAGGTAAGTTCTCCCCCATGTCAAGGGCTTCTTCCAAATGTCATATGAAAATGGGGGTTACACACTTGGGCCACTGCTTTGTGTGGAAGGGTTTGAGAATTTTTAGAGAGGTCCATAGTTCTATCTATTAATCAGGGTATCTATCTCTCAATCTGGGCATTTCCTATTCACATGAGAGTCTGTGCATATTTTTTACTTTCTGTTTTCAATTAAAGTCCCTGATATCATGTGGTTAGGTTGAGGATTTAGTGAAATAATTTATACAAAAACTGAGCATCATGTTTGCTGTATAGTAATTTCTCCATGAATGATAGTTACCATCATTATCATCACCATCGTGAATGATACTCATTAGATGTATCTTTGCCTATTTAAATATATATGTCTCTCTCTGGAGGTGATCATAACTACATATGACTCCTTATTTCAGAGTATATGGGGTATTCTCAGATATGACAATAGCTATAAACACATACAAGCATACCTTGGAGATATTGCAGGTTCAGTTCCAGACGTCTGCAGTAAATTTCATGTTGTAATAAATCTTCACACTTTTTTTTGTTTTCTAGTGCATATAAAAGTTATGTTTATGTTATACTGTAGTCAATTAAGTGTATAATAACATTATGTCTTTAAAATGTACATATATAAATTTTAAAATATTATTGCTAAAAAGTGCTAAACATCACCTGACAATGCAGAACTGCCACAAACCTTCAGTTTGTAAAAAACATAATTTCTGTGAAGTGAATTGAAGCAAAACATAATAAAGCAAGATATGTCTGCAAATGTTCCCTGTGCATGTGCAAATATATTTTGTGAAAAGTAGTATAGCATGGTAATTAACGTTAAACTAATATAACATTGTCAATCACTTATACTTCAAAAAAAGAAAAACATAAACACTGAACCTGTACTCCGTTTACCACACAAGCCAACTCTAGATTGTTAACTATGGGGACTTTAACAAATTACCTCATATCTCTGTTTTATAGTTCCTCTTTCTAATAATATGGGGATAATAAAGATATTTGTTTCATAGTACTGTTGTGAGGATTGAACGATTTAATCTGTAAAACATTTTGAACAATGTCTGACATATACACACATTATAAATATTGACTTATTATTTTTAAGTTGAAGTATAGTTGATTTTCAATATTGTGTTAGTTTCTGGTATATACCAAACTGATTCAGAAATATATATATTCTTTTTTTAGATTTTTTCCATTATAGGTTATTATTATTATTATCATTATTATTATGACAGTGACTAAGGCTCTATGTGACACTGTGGAACTAGTGTGGATGCAAGTATGTGTGTCTTTGCTTTTAGATAAGACTTCATGTGTCTATGTATATGCAAGTGTATGTATACTTGTGTATATGTTATGTTGTTTGTGTTTCTTGGATTGACTGTAGCTGTGTATGGTATGACTGAGTGCTTCATATCAGCCCCAAGAAGTCTAACTGCCTTGTTGATGTATCAGAATGAGAGACTAGAGGCTTAGTTCTAACTTTGAGTCGATTGGACACATGAAATGGATTTGTGCATAGTAAAGAACCAGCAAAGAACATTTCTTCTGATAAATGTGCTAAGTTCACAGCTGTGTATTTTCATAGACTGAACACATCCATGTAATCAGTAGTTAAATTGAGAAACAGAACATTACCTAAAAGCCTTCGTTTTCTTCCCTACCAGCCAGTGATCCCTACCTCAAGGGCAAACATTATCCTAGCTTCTAACAGCATAGATTAGCTTTGCCTGTTTTGTACTTTACATAAATGAAATCATACAATATGTACTTTTGTGCCTGGTTTCTTTCTGCAACATTATATTTGTGAGAGGCATCTATGTTTTCATGTACAGTGTTAGTTTGCTCATTACTATTGCTATACAGAATTTCATTATATGAATAAAATAAATAAATTTCATTATATGAATAAAATACAATTTACTCATCCACTATAGTGTTATGGGCATGTTGGCTGTTTCCAGTTTGCATCTATGAACATTATAGCAAATGATTTTTGCTGAATTTTCATTTGTTTTTAAACACAGTTTATGGGGGATGGAAAATGATAATGATGAAAATAGAGACACGGGGAGAATTAGTGACTTCACTTGGGTACTGAGTGAGTAACAGTGACTCAGTTAGTCTACTGATGCTTGTTTCCTAATTTGAGGGCCAGAGTATACTCTTCTTTCTACACTGCTGAAGAAAATGAACTCATATTTCTCATCTGAAGAAACTGATACCACAAAAAAGTCAGTACAAGTGACTTTTTAACTTTACCTTCCAAAGTCCAATGTGTAGAGTTCTTTGAACACTTGTTGAAAGGAATCAGGTAAGGCAAAGATTCTAGGCTAGTCAGTTTTTATGTTTTCAGTCACTCTGCCTCTTTACTTTTCCAGACACATTCAAAATCCCTTTGTTCTCTTTCTTCCTTACCAGAAGTTATTCATTTGCCTGTTTCCCAGAGTAACGTGGGCCATGGAGTCAGGCCATCTCCTCTGGGCTCTGCTGTTCATGCAACCTCTGTGGCCCCAGCTGACTGATGGGACTACTAGAGTCTACTACCTGGGGATCCAGGATGTGCGGTGGAACTATGCTCCTAAGGGAAGGAATATCATCACAAACCAGCCTTTGGAAAGTGACATGTAGGTTTACTCTCTTGTGGAATTAGAGATGGAGTTAAGCAGGGGTACCCTTGAGGCCAGTAGGTAGCTCTTTAGGACCTTTTCCCAGGGTGTGGGTGCAGTCAGCTTCAGATCTCTCTGGGCCATAATCCCAGTGGTGCATTTCCTGAGAAACAACTAATTGACTCAGGAGCCAGCGTGTCATATGGAGTCTACTTTTCCACACTGAGATGCCTCAGCATTTTTAGGGTCTTAAAGGTCATTCCATATTGCCTTGATTCTAAGGTGATATCCACAATGCTGTTTTAATAATAGCTGTTTAGCTTTTAAACAGGAAAGAAGCATGAAATATATAGAGTGTTTGTAAGATGTGTGTGGTGTATGTATGCTGCAAATTGTTCAATGGAACTATACTGATTTAAGATATGTGAAAATGTGAAAAAATAAGATCAGCCTTAGAATCAAGGAAAGAACAGTAATAGCTATCACTTATATAACACTTTGTGATAGGCACCATATTAGAAATTTATATACTTTGTCTCACCTAATTCTTACAGAAACTAGGAGATGAATATGAATATTCTCATCTTATAGATGAAAAAACTGAGGCTGAGGGAGATCAAATGACTTTCCCAAGTCCAACAGTAAATGGAAAAGTTAGGATTTGAACCTGAGTAATGTGGATACAAAGTCGGTACTCCTCTCACCATAGCCTCTCACAGATCCTACAGGAATAAACTTTCTTGATCTTAGAGCTCTGCATGCATTCCACAAATATCAGCTGAAAAAAATAATGCATTAAAAAATCTTTTGTGATCATGAATCATGTTGTCTTTCCAAACCATCAGAGTTTTCCAAAGTTGACTGTAACATCTCAGAGTTCGCTAGGAAGAATTGGATTTGGAAATGGCAATGCATGCATACTAAGTCACTTCAGTCGTGTCCGACTCTTTGTGATCCTATTGACTGTAGCCCACCAGGCTCCTCTGTCTATGGGGATTCTCCAGGCAAGAATATGGGAGTGGGTTGCCTTGCCCTTCTCCAGGGGAAATGGCAATATTGGCATTTAATTGAAACTTCCTGGCTCCAGAGTTTGTGATCTTAATTATGCTGTAAGACTTCCCATATATAGCAGGACAACACTAAGTCAAGGCAACTGGATAGGAAGTTGAGCACTTAAAAAGGGTCAGTTCATAGTTGGTTGCCTCCCCACTACTATATATTAGGCTGTAGTGAGTGAATCTGCCTATTTTATAGGTTGTGTGCATGAGTGGTAAGTTGCTTCAGTCATGTCTGACTCTTTGCGACCCTATGGATTATAAATTGCCAGGCTCCTCTGTCTATGGGATTCTCCAGGCAAGAATACTGGAGTGTGTTGCCATGCTCTCCTAAAGGGGATCTTCTCAACCCCAGATCGAACCCGCATCTCTTATGTCTCCTGTATTGGCAGGTGGGATCTTTACCACTATCCCACCTGAGGAGCCCATTTTATAGGTTAAAAGTGCATATCGGCAAATTCATAGGCTTTAAGTTAATACTTCTTATTGTCTAACAATCAAATCCTAGCCCAAGGTTTTCATATTTTGATCAGTACAATCCCATTTCTTCTTATTTTGCCCTAAACAAAAATGGTCACTTTTTGGTCAGCCTCCTCTAGAAGAAAGGCAAAAATGTGAGTCTCTCTTTCCTTCCTTCCCAGAGTAGCTGCTAGCTTCTTGAAGTCTGACAAGAACCGAATAGGGAACAGCTACAAGAAGACCATCTACAAGGAATACAAGGATGGCTCATACATGGATGAAATAGTTCAGCCAGCCTGGTTGGGCTTCCTGGGGCCAGTGTTGCGGGCTGAGGTGGGAGATGTCATCCTTATCCACTTGAAGAATTTTGCCACTCGTCCCTATACCATCCATCCCCATGGTGTTTTCTATGAAAAGGATTCAGAAGGTAAAATATCCCATCTTTTCTTTCTCCTACCTGCAACAAACATCCCTTTTTCTTTACTGTCTTCTGAGAGAGAGAGAAGCTGGGAGTAAAGATAGTCTTCTTTTTTGAACTGAGGTGGCAGTTACTTTTCCCAGAGAAAATATGGGTACCATTATCAGCTCTGCTATTCATACACTGTGTAACTTTGGGCAAGTCACTGCCCCTCTCTAAACCTCAACTGCTCATTAAAAATGTAGAGATTCAATTTACCTTTTATCACAAAAAATTGCTTGAATGGAATTCCCATAAAATATTTGACTGTTTTAGAAATAGAGGAGTGTTCTGTGAATTTTCCTCTTAAGAGAAAGATTGGTTTACTCATCCGTAGCTCCCACTATCCCAGGCCCAACAGCTTATAATACTGACACACCAGTGAGTAAGGAATAGAGAAGTCAGAAGGTCCTAACTTGGTTGTTAATTGCCTTTATCACCTTGGGCAAGTTATTTTCCCTCTGTTTTCTCTTTCATAAGTAGACCAGTTGATAATTGAGCTGCCTTCAGACTGAAATTCTGTGGTTGTCTGCTTTTTGTTTTCCAAAGTGAGTGCTCAGAGAAAGGGAATGTTTATTCTCTCTTGCCTTCATGTCATTGGCTTTGCACTGGAGCATTACTAGGTTAAGCTGTATAGTACTTTAAATGGCCATATCTCCTTCCCCAAGGGCTGCTACCTTTTTAACCTGCTGTTGATTTGAAGTCTAGAGTTCTTGACTAGATATTACCTGAATCTGGCCTTCCTCAGGTTATGAGGAACACTGTGCTGAACTTTAGAACTCTACCTTCCACAAAACTGAAACTAGATATCTCATATGTCAGCACTCTCCTGATTTCTCTATCTGCTAGGTCTCTCTCACCCTGGGACTGAGCATGTGCAATTTCATTTTTTAGGTTCCTTGTATCCAGATGGTTCCTCTGGTTGGCTGAAAGCTGATGATTCTGTACCCCCAGGAGGCAGCCACATCTACAACTGGACCATTCCAGAAGGCCATGCACCCACTGATGCTGACCCAGCATGCCTCACCTGGGTCTACCATTCTCATGTAGATGCTCCACGAGATATTGCTACTGGTCTCATTGGACCCCTTATAACCTGTAAAAGAGGTATAAGCCCCAAGTGTGAGCTGAAGATACAATTTGGGATATCTAGAGGGAGCTGTGATATATTTGAATCACCTACATATTGAGCAACAGCCTGGAGAGCATTATTTTAACACCCCCATTTATTAGCAGGAATAAACTCTGCCAACATCTCTTTTCACTATTTTTTTCTATTTAATTATTTAAATAAATATTCTTAAAAACACTTTGCTACTTTTTTTCTTATTTCATTAAAAAAACCCTCAAATTAGTAATGCTGAAAATCAAGTTACATATGAATAAATGTGTACTAATAGTTTTTTGGATAGGATTGAAAGTGTAGCCATCAGAATTTGGGGAGGATTGTAAGTTTGGTTGGAAATGTGGTATGTTTAAGGTATAGTCAGTCCTGAAGACCTGTGTGTGTGGTCAGGTTAAGGCCCTGAGTTGAAGACATAGGCAGGGATGGTGGGAGGGAATTATTCTAGATTCTATGTGATTCACCTTCAAGTCCTAGGCTCAACTGAATTGGTGACTTTATCTAAGGAATTTGGAAATAGAAATTAGCAGCAGAATGTTCTATCTACTTTTCTGTTGCTGATGGGCTCTTAAGGCTCCATTCTTTCTATTCTTACTTGTGAGTACCCCTTGCAGCTTACTGTTGCTAAAGAAAGAAAGTTCTTAAAGGCTCTTTTATTACTTTCAATAGGAACCCTGGATGGGAGCTTCCCTCCTCGGCGGCAGGATGTGGAAAGTGATTTCTTCCTTCTTTTTAGTGTGATAGATGAGAACCTTAGCTGGCATATCAATGAGAACATTGCCACTTACTGCTCAGACCCTGCCTCAGTGGACAAAGAAGATGAGGACTTCCAGGAGAGCAATAGGATGCACGGTGAGCTGGGAGTAATTGGCCACATATAACAGTGAACACTGATTGAGGTTCTCCACTGGGTCTAGTATTTGGTGAATGTTTTCACATACCTGGTTCTTTTTAATCCTCAAGAGGACCATGGGTGGCTTTTCCCTGTTTCACTCATGAGTAAACCAAGGTTCTAGGATTACACAGAAAATAAATGGCACAGCTAAAATTCCAACCCTAATCTCTCTGGCTATGCTCTTGCCATTACGTACCTTGCCTTCTAACGTGGGTTGTTGATTCCAAAGTCATATACTCTATGCTTAGTCATTGGCTAGAGTTGCCAAATGATATAACTAGTTAACATTTCTTTGTTCTAAAAAGGATGCAAACTGGAAAAATTACATGTTTTGTAGAGAAAAGAAATGAGTTCCCTTAAGGGTGTTAACCATCTTAATTAAATTTAAAACAAACAAAAGGCACAGAAGTCCTAAGGCATGGACAGAAAATGGATTTTAAAAATGAAAAAAATTGATTTTGCTTTTGTTTAACTATAGGAGTGATTTACATAGTGACAGAGGTAGGCTCAAAACCGGAGTGCCAAGAGGAGGTGAAAACTCAAGGGGAATATGTGAAAGATGGTTTGAACAGCTCAAATTTCTCTTGAGTTTTATACCAATTGCTTGTAATGACAATTAGTTAATTAACTTGACAATTTCCCTGTGGAAATTTCAGAAGGAAATTGTCCTAGAAGGAAAGAAGGTTTATAAAATAAAACTCCATTTCTTAGAAAGCTTCCTCAAATTGTTGGGTTGGAATCCTGGCTCTACCATTTAATTCCTCTGTGGTCTTGGGAGAGAAGTATTAATAACTTTACCTCTCTGAGCCTAGATTTTCACTTTTTTTTCCATACCAGTGAATTCTGATACTTCTTAGGACTGTTTGTGAGATTTATATGAGATAATGCATATGGTCAGCACAGTGTACTCTTCGAAACCTCACCTAAGTGTTACCTATTATTATTGTCAGATGGTAAGGCTTCTCTCATTGGGCTATCATTTCCTAACTCTGATATTTTCTTTGTGTTTTATTTTGCAGCAATAAATGGCTTTGTATTTGGAAACTTGCCAGATCTAAGTATGTGTGCACAGAAACGTGTGGCCTGGCACTTGTTTGGCATGGGCAATGAGATAGATGTCCACACGGTTTTCTTCCATGGACAGATGCTGACCATCCGAGGTCATAGAACTGATGTGGCTCATATCTTTCCAGCCACTTTTGTGAGTGCTGAGATGGTGCCCCAGGAACCTGGCACCTGGTTAATCAGCTGCCAAGTGAATAGTCATTTGCAAGGTGAGATCTAACATCTCTGATCCTTTAGTTATAGGAGGTAGGTGGCAGTGATGGTTATCAGGAGCCTGGGTTTCTGACCTGGAGCCATAAGATTTGTCTTTCAGGTGAGATAGCTGGATGTAAATGATGAAACATTAGAATTCTGGGATTCCAGATTCCTTCTTGGCTCAGTCATTAAATTGCAGGTTGACCTTGGGCATGCTCTCTGGGTTTTATCTTCCCCGTCTCTAACATAAGATTGTATAGGAATGAATGAGTGAACCTTTGGTAAGTCATGCCACATTTTTTGAGTCTATGTTTCCTCATATGAGGATTGCAATAATAATTCCCACCTTATAAAGTTGTAAAGAGGTTTCAGAGAGATAATGGAATTTTGAAGCTTAGAGACAGGGGAATGATGAGACCAAGACTGGATACAAGAGAAGAAAATGAGCACTCAAATGTGCAGTTGGAAGATAGGCAATTAAATCTTAATTCTACCTCTGACTAGCTATGTAATCTTGGGCAAGTTATGTAACCTCTCTGATCCTTAGAAAAAAAACTTTGTCTGCAAAAGGAACATTAAGTCTGTTTCACAGGCTAGTTATGAGGACTGAAGGGAGTAACTAAAATATGTAAATCACCTAATAAAGGGTCTAGCAGATAGTACACATTCAATGAAAATGAATATCCTTATCTCCTCTTTCTTCATAGCTCAGATTTCTAATTTCAAATTTCATATCTCCTTGGGATGTTGTGAGACTCAAATGAGATAATGTACCTGAATGACCTCTGTACACAGCCAAACAAATATAACACAGTATCATCCATTACCACTATGCCTCAATGTAATAATTCCACATTTGGAAACACTACTTAGAATCTACACTTTCCTGACAGTCCCAAGTGTGAAGCTTCATCTTCATATGTAGATGTTCCTTTATTTTGGAAGCTTCCCGTTTTACAAATAACACTCTTCTTTTTAAAATTTGATATTCCCATGGGCCTATTCTCCCCATTTACAAATTAGAGGTTAAGCTCAGATCTAGGAAGTGACTTGCCTGAGTTCCTATAGATAGTGACAAGGCTTGGACTTGGAATTCAGGTATTTTGACTTCAAGTTCGGTGATGCTACTACAGTGTAAGCATTTTGCAGAGGTCAAGAATGAAGGTCTGATAAATGAGTTAGTAGTGGTGAGCAGGTGGGAGATACTTGAATTCCCACTTGCACTCCCTGTCTCCCTCTCCCAGTCAGGCTCTTTAGGAGTAAGAGAAAGTAGCTCATTTGGAGGGAGGGGTAAAGAGCCTAGTGAAGGGTGAAAGCGGGAAACAATAGGAAAAGGAGGAAGATGAGTCACCTGGGTAAAAGATGTATTGGGTAGAATGGAGCCAGTCTTGATGTTTTTCCTCCAGATGGCATGCAAGCACTCTACAAGGTCAAGTCTTGCTCCATGGCACCTCCCATGAGCTTACTCACAGGCAAAGTCCGGCAGTACTTCATTGAGGCCCATGAGATTCAATGGGACTATGGCCCTTTGGGGCATGATGGGAGTACGGGAAAGAATTTGAGGGAGCCAGGCAGGTAAGAAGTAATGTGTTTCCTCTCTCTACTCCTTAGTCCACCCACAAACACCTATTACTCCCTCTCAGAAATCTCTCACTTCACTTGGGGATCACAATCATTGTCTGGAGTTAATGGCACAACTATTAATCAAATTCTCGTGACCCTGCAGGAGTGCCTGCTCTTGGAGAGTTATAAAGCTTTTTGTATGGTCATGTCATATTCCCAGCCAAGGGTCCAAACAGAAAAGAAGGCCAAGATGGGGTCATGTCATTTAAAATTACATTTCTCCAATTCTAATTTATCAATTATTTATCATGTTGCTCCTTTCTTTCTTTACCATAGTCTGAAGGACACATTTAAGCTGAAGTGTAAAATGTACTCTTAAAAGTATAAGAAGAAGGGAAGGAACCTGCCTTATGGTCATTCCATGTCCATACTTTTTGAGGAATTTCTCCAAATTTTCATGCTTCATTCATGAATCAGATATGGGCAAGATAGAGTAGAAGGTTGGTGCCCTAATCAGTTGCTGGGCCTTAAATTACACTGACTCACTGGGCTATCAGTGATTCCAGGTCTTTTTAAAAGATGCACTTGATAGATGACTAAGAGAGTTTATGGAAAATTCTACAGAGCACAAAGTCATGTTTATTCTCCAGTAGAAAATGATAGAATGAATCTGCAGAAAATATAGGAAAATAGGTACTTGGGTGTCAGCATGGCTTCTAAGAATCTACAACTGGTCTTTCTAAGTTAGTGTGCTTTCATTTTTAAATGAAAGATATTAAGGGGAGAAAGGATTTAGAGTACCTGAGGATGATTAAGGACAGATGTAAGACTATGTAACTCTGGAGAATAGAACTGATCCCAGCATCTAGAACTTACAAGCAAGAAGATTTCAGTCTACTATAAAGAACTCCAATCATAAAAACTATCCAACAGTAAGAGGAATTATTTTCTCTGAAAATGAGTTCCCTGATCTTGGAAAGGCTGAAGCAGAAGCTATGCATCATTAATTTGTGTTTTGCCAGAAGAGATACCATTACTAGGTGGAAGTTAACCTGGATGATCTCTGAGGTCCTTCCTAAACAAAGATCCATAAATTGATAAGAACAAGTGTGCAATGGGAATCTATTTGACATTCGGCTAAATAATTTGGTATTTGCCTCCTTATATGCCAGTGGCTCAGATAAATTCTTCCAGAAGAGCTCCATCCGAATTGGGGGCACTTACTGGAAAGTTCGATATGAAGCCTTCCAAGATGAGACATTCCAGGAAAAGGTGCAGCTGGAGGAAGATAAGCATCTTGGAATTCTGGGTAAGGAATCCTTAACTTATGAATTTAATTGACTAGAGCCAGAGAATTGGGGAGGGCTTAAAAACTGGAGCCTGGTAGCCACTCAGAAACATGCTGTAGACCAACATTTCTCAGAATGAGTCCCAAGAGAGTAGTGTTTTGTGGGCCAGGGTTATGGGTCTAAAAATATCTGCAAAACACTAAGTTAAACATAGTCAAATAGTATTCTTATGTGCAGGGCTTCCCAGAGCTGTGGATTTATTTTTGTTCATCATGAATCTCCATGATGGGAGTAAAATATACATCATTTCTTATATATATTTGACTACTGAAACTTTTTTTTTTACATTGAACATCTTCTGATAGCAGTACTGTACAGATTGTAGTTTTATTTATTTTTTTTTAAATTTATTTATTTATTTATTTTTTAATCATTCTCTAGGTATATTTTTGAGGGGCTGTTTAATGCAGTAAGACTGTTCAGGATCTTGGAAATATGGGACCAGGAGCAAATGGCATGACATGTAGACATGGTTGCTATGGTGAAGGATGTAGAACAAAGCTTAGGACCTGACCTAAGGAAGGTATCTAAAAGGCCTAAAGCACAGTATAGCACTGAAATAGTATAAGAAGGTTGGGTGTGGCTTATTCACCTAGTTGAGGCAGGCAACGAGATAGATTAGATAGGAGAAAACTTTGAAAATGAAATAATATAATAGACCATATTCTGGGGTTAGATATTTACCAGTTGATTTCAGAGTTCTGATAATGGACAATTGGTGTTTCATTAGCTGGATAGAGAGATAATAAGGAGTAGAAGCACACCTTGGTTTGGAAAAGAGGGTGAGTGGTGAGTAAAAAGAGCTATCATTAGCTGGTATTCAGTATAGGTCCCCAGTCTTTTTTTTTTCCTTCAATTTTATTGTGGCAAAATATGCTTAACATAAAATTTACCATCTTAATCATTTTAAAGTATGTAGTTCAATGGCATTAAGTACATTTATAACATTGCACAGCCATTACCACCATCCATTTTCATACTCTTTCCATCTTGTAAAACTGAAACACTATACCAATTAACAAATAATTACCTATTCTCCCCCCCAACCCTTGGCAATCACTATTCTACTAATACCTTCCGTCTCTATGATTTTGATTACCTTAAGTACCTCATATAAGTGGAATTATACAATATTTGTCTTTTTGTGACTGACATTTCATTTAGTATAATGTCCTTAAGGTCTAGCCATGTTGTAGTATATTGCAGAATTTCCACTGTAGGTATATACGTTTTGCTAAATTCATTCATTTGTCTATCAGTGGACAGTTGGTTTGTGTCCACATTTTAGCCATTGGGAATAATGTTATGAATATGGGTACACAAATGTTTCTTTGAGGCATGCTTTCAATTGCTTTGGGTATATACACAGAAATGAAATTGCTGGATCTCATGGTAGTTCTAGTTTTATTATTTGAGGAACTGCCATGGTGTTTTCCACAGAAACTGCACCATTTTACACACCCACCAGCAGTGCACAAGGGGTTCCAATTTCTATACATCCTTGGCAACACTTATTTTTCTCATATTATCTATCCTAATGGGTATGAGGAGATAGCTCATTGTAGTTTTGGTTTGCATTTTCCTGATGATTAGTGATGTTGAGCATCTTTTCATGTGCCCATTGGCTGTTTGTATATCTTCTTTGGAAAAATGTCTATTCAAGTCCTTTGTGCATCTTTATTTGAACTATCTTTTTGTTGTTGAGTTTTAGGAGTTCTCTAGTATTCTGGATGTTAATCCCTTGTCACATATGATTTGCAAATATTTTCTCTCATTCTGTGGACTGCCTTTTCACTCTGTTGGTACTGTTCTTCTTCTTCTTGTTCTTCTTTTTTTTCTTGGCTGTGTTTCATGGCGTGTAGGATCTTAGCTCCCCAACCAGGTATTGAACCTGTACCCCCTGACTTGGAAGTATGGAATCTTAACCACTAGACCACCAGGTAGACCCTGTTGGTAGTGTCTCTTGATACACATTTAATTTTTTTTTCATGAAATACAGTATTTTTTAATTACCTGTGCCTCTGATGTCATAGCCAAGAAATCATTGCCAAATCCAGTGTCCTGAAGATTTTGCCATATGTTTATAAACAGTTGTATTGTTTTAGGCAAATTTAGATCTTTGATGATTTTTAGTTAATTTTTTTGCATATGATGTTAGGTAAAGGTTTAGCCACTCTTTTGCATATATAAATTCAGTTTTCCCAACACTATTTGTTTAAAAAGTTGTCCTCATATCTGTGAGGATTTATTTCTGGGCTCTTTATGCTATTCCATTGGTCTATATATCTGTTGTCTTTATGCTACTACCACACTGGTTTGATTACCATAGCTTTGTAGTAAGTTTTAAAATCAGGACATGTAATGTCTTCCAGTTTGTTCTTAACCCCCAAGATTGTTTTTGCTGCTTGGAGTCCCTTAAGATTACATATACATTGCTCATGTGGAATTGACATTTTAACAATATTAATTCTTCTCACCTACGAACATGGGGTGTATTTCCAGTTTCATGTGTATTTTATCAATGGTTAATAGTTTTATTTCTACAAATCTTTCACCTCCTTGGTTAAGTAATGTCTAGGTATTTTATTCTTTTCATGGTATTATAAATGAAATTGCTTTTGTAATTTATCTTTCAGATTTTTCACTGTTAGTGCAACTGACTTTTGTGTCTTGACTTTGTATTCTACTCTTTTGAGGAATTCATTTATTTTAATTTGTATGTGTGTGTGTGTGTGTGTGTGTGTGTGTAAGCTTTAGGATTTTCCAAATAATTATGATAAGAATCATATCATCTGCAAATAGAGATATGTACTTCTTCATTTCCAGTTTGGATATTTTTTATTTCTTTTCCTTGACTAATTGCTCTGGCTAGAAATTCCAGTAATATATGGAATAGAAGTGGTAAAAGCAAACATCCTTGCTTGTTCCTAATCTCAGAGGAAAAGTTTCAGTCTTCCAACATCAAGTATGATGTTTGCTGTGGGTTTTTCATATATGGTTTTTATTATGTCGAAGCAGTCTCTTTCTATTCCTAGCTTTTGAATGTTTTATATTATTAAAGGGTGTTCAATTTTGTTGTGTTTTTTTTTCTGCATTAACTAAGATGATAATTTTTTCTTTTATTTTGTTAACCTAGTGTATTACACTGATTGTTTTTTTTTGTGTTGAAACATTCTTGCATTCCAAGAATAAATATTACTTAGTCAAGATATGTAATCTTTTTAATATGCTACTGAATTTCATTTGCTAGTATTTTGTTGGGGATTTTTGCATTAGTGTTCAGAAGTAATATTGGTGTATAGCTTTTGTTTTCTTGTAATATCTTTGTCAAGCTTTGATATCAGTGTAATGCTGACCTCATAGAATGAGTTAGAATATAATCCCTCCTTTCCAATTTTTGGGGAATATTTGAGGATTGGTAGTAGTTCTTTAAATGTTTAGTAGAATTCACCAGTAAAGCCATCTGGCTTTTCTTAGTTGCCATATTTTTGATTAATGGTTCAATCTTCTTATTTGTCTTTCAGATTTTCTATTTCTTCACACTTCAGTCTTGGTAGGTTTTCTGTTCTAGAAATTCATCTATTTGTTCATGTACAATTGTTAATAGCATTCTCTTATGATATTTTTTTCACTTCTATAGGATTAGTAGTAATGTCCCTACTTTCATTTCTGATTTTAGTAATTTGAGTCTTTTTGGCTATGCTGGGTCTTCATTGTTGTGCAGGTTTTCCTCTAGTTGCAGAAAGCAGGGGCCACTCTCTAGTTGTGGTAAGTAGGCTTCTCACTGTGGTGGCATCTCTTGTTGTGGAGCACAGACTCCAGAGCACTTGGGCTTCAGTAATTGTGGCTTGTAGGCTCAGTAGTTGTGGCTCCTAGGCTCTATAACACAGGCTCAGTAGTTGTAGTGCATGGATTAGCTGCTCTGAGGCATGGGATCCTCCTGTATCTGGGATTGAACCCATGTCTTCCACATTGGCAGGTGGACTCTTTACAACTGAGCCACCAGGGCAGCCTGAAATAGCGGATTTTAAATTGCTTTTTATAACTATAAATGGCAATATACTAGAAAAAGATTATTCTTATTATTGCAGAGAGAAAAGTTTTCTTTTACATTTCTCTTTCCTTTCCCTTCTGTTTCCATCCTCCCTTGTCATCAGTGTTTTCATTCCCATTGTCTCTCCTTCCCATTTTCCAGGACCAGTAATCCGGGCTGAGGTGGGTGACACCATCCTGGTGATCTTCTACAACCGTGCCTCCCAGCCATTCAGCATACAGCCTCATGGAGTCTTTTATGAGAAGGACTCTGAGGGAACAGTATACAATGATGGTGAGCAGGCAGGGTTTCAAGAAATGTGGGCTGCAGATAATAGCAGGTACCTCTAGAGCAGCAGTCTCAAACCTTTTTGGTACTAGGGACTGGTTTCATGGAAGACAATTTTTCCATAGACTGAGTTGGGGAGAATTGTTTTAGGATGATTCAAGTGCATTGCATTTATTGTTCACTTTATTTCTGTTATTATTTCATCAGCTCCACCTCAGATCATCAGGCATTAGATTGTGGAGTTTGAGCACTCCTGCTCTAGAGAATATATAAATAGGGGAAGGAAGCAGAGAAAAGAAGGCAGAATTAACTGCCATGGATGGATGTTGTTGAGTATGATATTATAGTGAGACAGAGCTGGGATCAATGAGACAACTTTTAAATAGAAATATATTCTGGTTATAAAAATAACATATATATGTTATAGAATTTTGATAAAAATGGAAAATTATAAATTAAATAGACCCCATAGGTAGATTTCCATTACATTTTGATATACTTTTTCATATTTTCTGTGTTTATACAAATGTATAGATTTATAATGGTATGTTTTGTACACTTTGGTATCTTACTGTTTTCACTTACCTTTATATTGTTCCCATCTTCTATGTCATTATAATGTTACAGACATTTTAATGACTATGCAATAAGGTAAAAATAGTTACCTTATCCTCTATCATTTAGACATGTACATTGCTTTCATTATTTTTTGATATTGTAAATCATGTTACAATGAATGAATATGTACATTTGGTTTGAATTACTACCTCAGGAAAGAATCCTACAAGTGGGATTATTGGGTAGTTAATTTCTTCTTTTCCTTGAGAGTAATACTAACACATGCATGCTAATCTCAAGTCAAAAGTACCAAAAAAAAAAAAACTAAAAGCATAAAAAGCCAAGAATAAAAGAATATTCTACAATGCAACTGGTCTAGACTTTTCAAGAAATCAGTGCCAAAGGGGGAAAAATTAAAGAGACAACACCAAGGGCAACATGAAATCCTTGTCTAATTTTGGTTATATAAAAGACATTTTGGAGATTGGACTTTTTTAAATACACTGGGTATTAGATGGTATTAGGGTATTTTTGAGGTGTGGTCATCTTATTGCAATAGTATAAGAGATGGTTACCGATGTATATAGAAGTGAAATGTCATTATTCTTGCATTTCACTTCCCAATGATTTAGAAAAAGTAACCATATACATAGATTTAGATAAATTTAAGATGGCTAAGCCTGTGATAAAATAGATAACCAACAAGTCCCGACTGTAAAAAAAAATGATAAATAAATTTTTAAAATAAAATACAAAAAGAAAGATGGTCAAATGTTAACAATCAGCTCCAAGTGGTAGAGTGATTATTGTACTATCCTTTAAGGTTTTCTGTATGTTCGAAACTTTAAAGACTTAGGAACAATGAATGAACAAGAAAAAATAAGTTAAAATCATCCTAAATTTTACTACCATGTAATAAATTCCAAAATGCCTTTGTAGTTTATGATCTTACTCCACCATTTGGAGATGTTGATACTCTAGCCAATGTGAGCAATAAATTCTATGTTTTTCCTGCAGACTCTTCCCACCCTGGCTTAGTGGCTAGGCCCTTTGAGAAAGTAACATACCGCTGGACAGTCCCTCCCCATGCTGGCCCCACTGTTCAGGATCCTGCATGTCTCACCTGGACATACTTCTCTGCTGCAGATCCCATAAGAGATACCAATTCTGGTCTGGTGGGCCCCCTGCTGGTATGCAAGGCTGGCGCCTTGGGTACAGATGGCAAGCAGGTATTGTCAAGGTTTCTGGCTGGAAAGCCTGCTGGTAAGATGATGAGGCTGGATTGCTAAATAGAAGTTATGCATGGATCTGGGTTCTAAAAATAAGAGCATAAAAATTAACCAAGTTGTTGAATTGGAAATTAATAGTTGGTTGATCATGCTATTTTTTTTTTGCCTCATCTGTTTGTCTAAACTTTATTTTTTTCCCCTTTTCTTCTTCTTTTCACTTGTTTTTTAAATTGGAGGTTAATTGCTTTACAATGTTGTGTTAGTTTCTGCCATACAACTACACAGATCAGTCATGACCTCATGCTATTTTGCATGCTATTCTGTTCATAAACACACATCTTCCTTAGTGTCTATTCCTTTCAATTTTATATTCTCCCAATATCTCCTCATTTTTTAAAATCTCAGTGGCCCTTAAAACTTCCTCTTAATCTCCAAATCTTCCCTACTGTTTTCTTGTCTTCTTTTATATTCAGCCCACAACTCTTAGCTGTTTAACTTTGGTCAAATTATTTAACCTCTCTTTGCCTCAGTTTTATCATCTATAGTAAAAGGTTAACAATGGAAGTAAATATCTTGGCTTTCTGTGAAGATTAATTAAAATAATCCATATAGAGTGCTTAGTACAGTGTCTGATACCTAGTAAACACTCAGTAATAATATTAGTAAAATTAATAATTGATAATAAAATATGTTAATAATTAATATACTTATTTTTTATTTTATTTTCTAACTTATCCCCCCATAGAGTCCCCCTCTGATCTCCTAGCCATCTTCCTCACTCCTGCCCCTAGTTGATTCCAGGCTCTCTTCTATCATACTCTGTACCTCTTCATCATAATCTTTTACTTTTTCCCTGCCCCCTTTCTTGCATTTCTCCCCTCCAGTCCTATAACTTTATTCTAACCACCTTTCAGTTCAGTTCAGTTCAGTTCAGTCACTCAGTCGTGTTTGACTCTTTGTGACCCCATGAATCACAGCACTCCAGGCCTCCCTGTCCATCATCAAATCATAGAGTTTACTCAAACTCATGTCCATCAAGTCAGTGATGCCATCCAGCCATCTCATCCTCTGTCATCCCCTTCGCCTCCTGTCCCCAATCCCTCCCAGCATCAGGGTCTTTTCCAATGAGTCAACTCTTCGCAGGGGTGGCCAAAGTATTGGAGTTTCAGCTTCAGCATCAGTCCTTCCAATGAACACCCAGGACTTATCTCCTTCAGGATGGACTGGTTGGATCTCCTTGCAGTCCAAGGGACTCTCAAGAGTCTTCTCCAACACCACAGTTCAAAAGCATCAATTGTTCGGTGCTCATCTTTCTTCACAGTCCAACTCTCACATCCATACATGACCACTGGAAAAACCATAACCTTGACCAGACGGACCTTTGTTGGCAAAGTAATGTCTCTGCTTTTTAATATGCTATCTAGGTTGGTCATCACTTTCCTTCCAAGGAGTAAGCATCTTTTAATTTCATGGCTGCAATCACCATCTGCAGTGATTTTGGAGCCCAGAAAAATAAAATATGATGCTGTTTCCACTGTTTCCCCATCTATTTCCCATGAAGTGATGGGACCAGATGCCATGATCTTAGTTTTCTGAATGTTGAGCTTTAAGCCAACTTTTTCACTCTCCTCTTTCACTTTCATCTAGAGGCTTCTTAGTTCCTCTTCACTTTCTGCCATAAGGGTGGTGTCTTCTGCCTATCTGAGGTTATTGATATTTCTCCCAGCAATCTTGATTCCAGCTTGTGCTTCCAGCCCAAACTTTCTCATGATGTACTCTGCATATAAGTTAAATAAGCAGGGTGACAATATACAACCTTGACATACTCCTTTTCCTATTTGGAACCAGTCTGTTGTTCTATGTCCGGTTCTAACTTGCTTCCTTACATGCATATAGGTTTCTCAAGAGGCAGGTCAGGTGGTCTGGTATTCCCATCTCTTTCAGAATTTTCCACAGTTTATTGTGATCTACACAGTCAAAGGCTTTGGCATAATCAATAAAGCAGAAATAGATGTTTTTCTGGAACTCTCTTGCTTTTTCGATGATCCAGCGTATGTTGACAATTTGATCTCTGGTTCCTCTGCCTTTTCTTAAACCAGCTTGAATATCTGGAAGTTCACCGTTCACGTATTGATGAAGCCTGGCTTGGAGAATTTTGAGCATTACTTTACTAGCGTGTGAGACAGGTGCAATTGTGTGGTAGTCTGAGCATTCTTTGGGATTGCCTTTCTTTGGGATTGGAATGAAAACTGACCTTTCCCAGTCCTATGGCCACCGCTGAGTAGCCACCTTTATCTACCTGCAATTTGAAATTACCCGAGAAAACACTTCTTAGCATCAACTATAGCTCTAGGCAGGAGATATGGATTTGGCTCTGTGTTTGGAAAGGAAATGGAAAATAATCAAGGATCACTGGGGTCTGAAGCTGCACAGTTCACAACTGCTAAAACTGTTGTCATTCCCCTTTGTTTTCTTCCACTGTGACTACAGAAAGGAGTGGATAAAGAATTCTTTCTCCTTTTTACTGTGTTGGATGAGAACAAGAGCTGGTACAGCAATACCAATCAAGCAGCTGCTATGTTGGATTCCCGACTGCTCTCAGAGGATGCCAAAGGTTTTCAAGACTCTAATCGGATGCATGGTATGGAGAGTGCTTTTACCCTAAGCTATAGCTGAGAAGTTATGAGTAAAATCTAACCTAGACTTAATCATGATCCATCCCTGAAAACATTGATTCTGTTGGTCAGCTCTGCTAAGAGACAAGCTAAATTGAGGGATTAAACCTAAGCCAGCACATTTTATCCTTAACACCTTCCTGTGCTCTGTTCTGTGTTATGCAGTGTGGGAGGCACTGGAAAAAAAAGTACTATGAAACGAGGATTGCATACAAAGGGCCCACTAGGAGAATGAGGAGAGTAACCTGGGATGATACCTTTCCAGTCTTATCTCCTCTCTTATCACCCACTAGCCTTGCTTCCCAACCTCCTACTACAGCCAAATGGAGATATTTTCTCTATTTAGACATGTGTGTGTAGAGTGCTCAGTCGCTCAGCTATGTCCAACTCTTTGTGATCCCATGGACTACTGTAGCCTACCAGGCTCCTCTGTCCATGGAATTTTCCAGGCAAGAATACTGGAGTGGGTTGCCTTTCCTGCTCCTGGGGATCTTCCTGACCCAGGGATTGAACCTATGTCTTCTGCATCTTCTGCCTTGGCAGGCGGATTCTATACAGACATACTTTGTACTTTTCTGAGCTCAAGCTTTTGTAATGCTTTGTACTCTGCTTGAAAAGCCCCTCTTTACATATTTGCTTTTATCCTATGGAAATTCTTCTCATTCTCTAAAACTCTACTCATAAATGACCTCTTCCATGTAACCATTTCTTATCACCCAATCCCAGGATAATGATACCCTCTTCTGAACTACTGTTGTATTTTTATCAGATTTTTTAATTGCAAGTTCCATATAATCCTCAATATTGTAGTTATTTACTACATGGCTTTTGACTTCTGCTAGACTGTAGTCTCCTTAAAAGTGAGTATTATTTGTTGTTTTTCCGTTTACACTTTACATGGTCTAATATATAGTAAGTAATTATTGAACTGATGAACTACTAAATTAGTGAGTAGGTGAGTGGATCAGTGAGTGAATTGATAGGGAGAAATGGTCCAAGTTTGCAAGGAGCTCTCAGCATTTTGCAATTAAATGAGACTAATAATGTCCATAGAACATGTAAGACAGACTATGATTAAGTGCTAAATTGTGTGGAACAGCTTTTAAGTGACATAGAGTTCAGAAAAGGAGAACATTGCTGAAGAAAAATCCAATTAAATAATTATTGGAAGAAGGAATTGCTTGACTGAGCCTTGAAGTTTGAATCAAACTTTGCAGTCAAACATTGTAGTAAAGGAAGCATAATCAAGAGGTTAGTGATGTTTTCATCAGCATCCCATGGGATTATCAAATAAAGTTACTCATTAAAGCTGGTTTCAGTGGGTGTAAGGACACTGAAGAGGGATCAGCTTCAAGCAGGCCTCCCTGTATTTTTTAGGGGTGTGTGCAGGGTGAGATGGGGTCAAGAATGAGTGTGTCTTTTGGCTCCATCTCTTGGTTCTCATTACCAGTCAGTTACATCAGTTGGAAAAAATAATACAGTCTATGAACCAAATTTATTCCTGATTGAATTTATTGAGCACTTGGTAAGTATTAGGCAACATCCTAGGTGCTTAGATACTGAAAAAATGATGTGCTTCCTGCTAAGTTAATCTAGTGTAGAAGCTAAATGTAAGTAAGTCATAGGACTCTATGGTAAGTGACATTTCAGAATTTTGTGGGGAGAAAATTTCAAGGAAGCCAGAAAGAGTATAATAACTCTGCTTCACAGGGTAGGTGATATTTGAGCTAGTGTATAATGTTTGTTGTAGTGAAAGACCAGGGGGAGAATCTATTACAAGCAGAGGGAACAGCATGTGAAAATCCAACATGTATTTTCTAAGTGCCTACCATGTTTAAGGTCTTGTAGTGTGTGTCAGTTGCTCAGTTGTGTCTGACTCTTTGCAATCCCATAGACCATAACCCACCAAGCCCCTCTGTCCATGGAATTCTCCAGGCAAGAATACTGGAGTGGGTTTCCATTTCCTTCTCCAGGGGATCTTCCCAACCCAGGGATCGACCTCAAGTCTCCCACATTGCAGGCAGGCTTTTTACCATCTGAGACACATGCACAGGCAAATAATTGAGCTCACAGGATAATGGTGTGTATGTGTATATAAAAAAGAATGGGGGAATAGATTACAGATAGAAGTGCAGGTAGGAAGATTCTGTAGGATTCAGGCCAGAGATGATGAGAGCCAGAATCAGGGCAATGGGAGTGAAGATGAAGAGGATGATAAAGATTGAAAGCTGAAGAAGGAATGTTGGGGAACTCTCACACTTTATAGAAGCATGGAGAATGAGAATAAGATGGAGGAGAAACAATCAGAAAAGCTATAAGAGAACCAGGGAAGTATGGTGCTACAGAATCCAAGGGAGGGTAGTTTTAGGAAAATGGGAATAGGAGAGATTGATACTTTTTCGTATGTGAAGGAGTTTTGGGAGTGGAGAATAGTTCAGTTTTGCCAGGATGTGAAGTATGGTGGAGGAGGGTCAGGATGTAAAACCAGAAAGGTCATTTGAGCCCTCATCCCAAAGAGGCAGAACATAATAAGTAGAATTAATGGGCTTAAAAAAGAAGGTAGAGGAGTTGAGAATGACTCAGAAATTTCAAGTTGTGGGAAACCTTAGCACAGTGCTGATGCCACACTGCCAGCTGGTGTCTGAGTAATCTGTTCTCATCTTCCCATTCTGTCTTGTGTTTCTGTTTTCCAGCCATTAATGGGTTTCTGTTCTCTAACCTGCCCAAGCTGGACATGTGCAAGGGTGACACAGTGGCCTGGCACCTGCTTGGCCTGGGCACAGAGACTGATGTGCATGGTGTCACATTCCAGGGCAACACCGTGCAGCTTCAGGGCATGAGGAAGAGTTCAGTCATGCTCTTTCCTCACACCTTTGTTATGGCCATCATGCAGCCTGATAACCCTGGTAAGTGCCTTAGCAGCTGACCCTAGGCTGAGAAAATTTGTTGAGCATTGGGCCGGATGAGGTGTGGAGCTGTTGAACAGCAAAGAAAAGTCATATTGAAGTACTTGGGAACTTTTCAATACTGTTGTGTCCTTTTCTCAATGTGTACTCCATGTTTTGGTTATTTGGATTCTCTTCTCAGCTGCAGGCAGAATAAAGAGCTGAGGAAATTCTTTTCTAGAATAACAAGACAAAAATAGAGATGCTGCCCAGTATTAGGGCAATTCGTGTATAGGCAGAGAATGGACTTAGCCACATAGCCCCATAGACATGTAGAGATTCTATAGATATAAGCCCTGCATTGAAGAAAAGATCAATGAAATATACCTACAAGTGCTTCCAACTCTGACATTCTGTGAAGATTTTTGCAACCTTCTGGTAGGAGTAGGGTGGTATGTGCTGTAACAGTTCTAGCCTAGGAACCATAACACAGGAACTTCTAGTCCAGGGTCTTTCATTAACTTGCTGTCTTATTTTTGTCTAGTCACTTCTCCTCTCTGTGGCTAGATTTCTTCCTTCTTTTCTTTTCTGTTCATTTCTCCTCCTCTCTCCCTCTCTTTAGTTCTTTACTCTCTTCCTCCATCCCTCCTTCCTTCCCCCTCCTCCTCCCTCTCCTTATCTTTCTTTCATAATTAAATTTGACTATAAGTTTTCTTCAGATTCCATCTTTGTGTGACATTTCCTAACTTGGCAAAAAGTTTTCTCTGTAGTTCCTAGGGTGTATTCTTTTTTCCAGGCAGTAGGTGGCAGTAGTGTTTGTAAGAAATATCTGTCAGTTCCATGCTGCTGCTGCTAAGTCGCTTCAGTCGTGTCCGACTCTGTGCGACCCCATAAACGGCAGCCCACCAGGCTCCCCCGTCCCTGGGATTCTCCAGGCAAGAACATTGGAGTGGGTTGCCATTTCCTTCTCCAATGCATGAAAGTGAAAAGTGAAAGTGAAGTCGCTCAGTCGTGTCCGACTCTTTGCGACCCCATGGACTGCAGCCTACCAGGCTCCTCCGTCAATAGGATTTTCCAGGCAAAAGTACTGGAGCAGTTCTCACTAAACTTTTAGTTCTATAAATTCCATTTATATTTGAGGAAAAATCCTTAAACAAAGCAAGTTTCCTTGATAATGATTTCATCATGGCATTGGGTTTGACACACACTTGACATGAAGCAGGCCTCCACAGACTTCTTGGGTCCTCATTTCTGCTCATCTGCCTAGGATACTTTGGTCAAGGAGAGTTGATGTCAGCAAATTAGAAACAGCCATTAATGGGGCTGAAAGGACCAACAGAAATGAATGCTTGGAGTGAGCACTGGGGCGGGGAAGCTCTGAAAAAGAAAGACTCTTCTCTCTAGCCGTGGTCTGAAAGCCAAACCCTAGGTTTAATCTCTTTCATACAAAATCAACCAGGCTCCCCTGTAAGATCTACATGGCTCTCTAGGGCTCACAGTTATCAATATTTTGTCAGCGAATGGGTTTATAAGAAAGGCTTAAAAGGTTACTCCCAGTCATAAAAAAAGCCCTAACTTTTTATCTTTGCATTTTCCAGTCTTTCAAATTCTCCTCTTCCTGAAGAATTTTTGAGTCATAGAACATTATAACTGGTAGAGCCCCTTAGAGATCATCTTATTTCACTTATTTTACTAATGGGAGGAAGAGACAGAGATCTGGAGAGGGGAAACGATTTTCTCAGGTTAGGGATGTCAGCTCTATTTTTTTCCCCCTTTGGCCCCATCTCCATCAACCCCTGTTAATTCTTACTCCTAGATAATCTTTTATCTGAAGTCACCATTCATTATATCTCTGGTAGGAGTTAATGTCTGATTAAGATTGAGAGAGACCATTGGAATAGCTCCCCAAAGACAGGACAAAAGTAGCAAATTAATGAAAAGACCAAAACCAGAATCTGGTTTTGGAAGTCTAGCAAAAGGAGTTGCAATGAAGATTGGTCAATATACATATGCAATTAAGCAACTTTGCAGGTAACTTAAAAACATCACCACAGAGATTCAACATGTTATTTGCTGGATGCTTACAACTATGTTTAACAAAAGAGAAGAACAAATTCCCAAAAAAGTGAAACAAAATGCTAAGAGTGTGAGTGTTATAGGTTTATTTGTGACTTTTTAAAATCCTCTTTTCGCTTTGCTTTAAATCCTAATAATATTTTAATTTCAGATATTAACTACATTTAATGGAAATGATATTTTTACATTTAAAAATATCCTGAATAATACACCTCAGCTGTCCCAGAACTACTGATACTAGAGTTTTGATAACCAGAGAAAGTGGCAGATAAATAGGCTAGAGCTTGTAATGTGTTATTTTACACCAACTTCTTGTTAGATTTCTTAGCATCAAAAAGAATATTTATTACTGCTCTGATCCTTCAGAGTTTCTTTTCTCTTTCACCATTAGAACTCATTTGTTTATTCATTTATCCCCCTTCCACACTCTCTTTTCTTTCCTCATTACTTTTCCTCTCTTCTCTCATTTTTTCTATTCCTCTTTCATCCTTTCTTTGTTTTGTTTCTTTCTCCCATTTTATATATCTTCTTTTCCCCCTTCTTTCCTTCATTCTTCCCCTTTTTAAATCTATTTTCTCTTATCTTGCCTTTTATCTTTCCTTCTTTTCATTTTCACCTTGCATTATTTTTGTCTTTCTTCCCTTTCTTCTTTTCCTTCTCTTCTCTCTTTTTTTCACTGCTTTTTTTCTTCCTTTGAGTTTTTCCTAGCTTTTTTTACTTCTCTTCTTTTTGTTTTTAATCTTCTTTTCTCTTTTCTCTTTATTTATTTTTCTGTTCCTCCTATTTTCTTTGCTTCTTTTTCCTTTTCCTTTAATATATATCTTTTCTTTTGTCTCTTGTCTTCATGTTTTTCCTTTTTTCTTCCTCATGTTTTATTTTACCTTTTTTTTTTACAGGTAGACTTCCCCCAGACATAGTAAACATATGTTTTCTTACACTTGTTGGTCTAGATGTTAGGGATGTGAGAATGAATGAGGCAGTTCACAGTTAGTGTGGAAAGGAGATAGGTATGTAAACAATATTCACAATTCTATGACAACGCTATCAGACAGGGCTATAGTAACACACAGGAAACTACAACAAATTCTGCCTGACTTGTGGAGTGAAGCTTTCCTAGAAAAGTAGACATTCAAATTGAACTTTCAAAGACTAGTAAACTGTTACCAGGCCAAAAAAGAGGGTGGATGGTGAAGAGGGTATTATAGGCAGTAGGAACCACATGGGCAGTGACTTGAGAGCATCATCTGCCTAGAGAAGTTTACGTAGATTGATTTTATTCATTGGTTTTCAACTAAAGTGGTATACTGGTGTTTGGAAATGTGTGGAATACTTTTAGCTGTCACAATGACTAGAGTTATAAGGGTATGATACTGTTTATAGAGTGGGAGTCAGAGATTCTAAAGCTTTCTTCAATATGTAGGACAGCCTTAAACAATGAAGAATAATCACACACAAAATGCTAGAAGCAGCCTTGTTGAGAAACACCAAGAAATAAGATTGAAGAGGTGATAGCAGATGGCCCTTGTAAGAAGTGATAAGAACCTGACAATGGGTGGGAGCAATAGGGATGGAGAGAAAGGGCAGAGTTAAGAGATATTTGAGAGAAAAATGACCAAACTTTGCTAATGGGCTGAGCAAGAAGAAAGGATGTCTGAGGTTTTCAGCTTGTGCACTAGATAGATGGTAGTGTCATTAATTATATGAGCAAACACAGAAACAAGGAAAAGGTACTAAATTTTAGATAGAAAATATTCATTGGGAGCATGTTGAATTTTAAGTTTCTGGTGAAGTCCAGGTGGTGTGGATTTTACAATAGGGAGCTGTGGGTGGTAATGTAAACATTGGAGTAGAAGTCCAGGCTAGAGAGAGATTTGAGTGTTTTCATGTTGGTGTCCTTTAGCATGCTATAGGAAATAAAAGTTATAGGAAGTTATAGGAAATAAAACTTAAGGCAGAAATCAACATTTAAGTGGTAGAGGGAAAAGATAAGCAAGAATAAGGAGACAGCAGAAATATTGGTCACAGAGTTAAGAGGAGACTCAGATGCAAAGGATCGAAAAGTATTAAAAAAGAAGCATCTTGGAGAACAATGTCCATATGAGATGATGTGTTGCTCTCAGGTCACATGATTCTTCCATAAAGTCTTCTGTTTGTTTCTATTCCATCCAATGATTATCAGACTTTCTTCTTCACACAAACCCCTGAGCTATGACTTTTAGACATTGTATACAATGTATCCAGTCATTCATTTGCACAGAAATTCATTCACTCAACACATATTTATTGCACACTTTCCATGTGCTAAGTCTGGGGTAGAGGGGTGAAAAGATAGACATGATACTTACTTCCAGGGAAGATCTACAACAAACACACAAAAACACATACATAAAATGGTAAGACATTTTCATATCATGATATATGTCATGAAGGAAAGGAAATAAATTAGTGTGATAAACTGATAGGGGCATTACTTTAGAGACAGTGTTTAGGGAAGGCCTCTTGGAGAATGTGACATTTAAGGCCTAAGTAATGGGGAGGAAGAAGCTATATGAAGATCTCTAAGCAGAATATTCTAAGCAGCGGACCCAGCAAGTGTAAATGTCTCAAGGTGGGAATAAGCATGTCTTGTTCAAGGGTTGGAAAGAAGGTCAGTATGGTTGGAGTATAAGGAACAAGGAGAAGACTGACATCACATGAAATCATAGAGGTTGGCAAGAATCATACTATATAGAACCTTGTAGATCAGAGTCAGGAGCTTTAATTATATTCTGAGTATAAATAGAGCATTTAAAGCAAGAGAACAATGTGCTCTGGATCATATTTGTTAAAGAGGGCCTTGTATCCCTTTTGGAGAATGTTGAAGAGAGAAGGAAAAGCAGAAAAGGGAGTTGTGAGGCTATTGAAGTTTTTCAGGTGAGAGGTGATAGTGGCTTTGACTAGAGAAGTGACAGAGTAGAAACAGAACAATGACTGTAAACGAAGTGATGATAGGATTTATTGATGGAACAGATTAGAGGGATAAAAGAAATAGAAGAATCAGAAAGTAGATATGGAAAAATATTTTCCATGAAGTTTATAAACTAGTGGAAAGGACTGTTTTTTAAAGGAAGGAGCGCTTAGTCCTTAACCATGTGATCTAGATGAAAAGTGATTTAGAAGTAGAGAAGCAAAAATGTAGAGCACAGTGTGGGCTGGAACAGTCAGGAAGGACTGTCTGGAAGAGATGAAATATGAATTGGGTCTTGGAGAATGAGTGAGCTCCTAAAGATATTTGTGAGGAAGGGGAGGTCTATTCCAGAAAAGTAATAATGAGTGAAAATTTCAAGATAGGAATGAGATACGTGAGAGGGGCAATCAGGGTCAGATTTAGTTAGAGCCCTGGTTGAATTTGGGGCAGAGTGGGAAGTGGGATTGTGTCCATAGTTTGAAGCTAGGTCATAGAAGACTTTAAAAGCCAGGAAGATTTTTTAGTGGTGGTATAGGCAGTCATCAGTAGAATAAGGAATACTGGGGAAATAATGTAAGAAAATTAGCCTCTCCTGATCAGTAGTCTATGAGCCTTTGTGTCCTTGACATAGAAACCTGCATCTTAAGATCAGATACAGGCAGATCTACAATTCAGATATTTATGGCTGATATCCAAACATTTTATTGTAAAAAACCTGGGAAGGCCATTTCAGAGTTCTCTGATGTAAGCATTCTCATGATCAAGAAGTTCATTATATGTATGCCCACCTTTATTTATTTAAGACTTGGTAGGAAAGGGAGAAAATTGGTCAATGCCTTCCTTCAAATAATAATTATTACAGCTTTATTTACTTATAGTTTTACTTATTGAACATTTTACACTATAGTATGCTAAGCAATATGTACATATTTTTGTGGTTAATTTTAAAACAATCCCATTAAGTAAAATGCTCCTCACTTTACAATGAGGAAACAGAAATATACAGAAGCTTAAAATTTTCCTGAAAGTTATATGGTTAATAAGTGTCAGATAAGATGATTGACTATGCTAGTTTTCTCATAACTGAGGAGTTTCCAGAGATGTTGGACTTTCAGTCCTAAAACTAGAGAAGCCATTGGTAAACAGAGAGGAGTTTGTCATTCTAGTGGCAGGTTTAGTTAACCTCTGTGCTCATTATTCTCAATAAATGTAATAATCTTTTACCTAATGCATAAAAAAAACCCTTATCTGATGCTGCCTACTCTGTGATATGACTAGAGAGAAGTAGGAACTCCTTCAGGCACTATACAGGGGTATTCTGAATTCAAGTTTTGCTCTCTACCCCCACCTCAGGGACATTTGAAATTTACTGCCAGGCAGGCAGCCATAGAGAAGCAGGGATGAGGGCAATCTATAATGTCTCCTCTTGTCCTGGACACCAAGCCAACTCTCATCAACGTTACCAAGCTGCAAGGATCTACTACATCATGGCAGAAGAGATGGAGTGGGACTATTGCCCTGACAGGAGCTGGGAACTAGAATGGCACAACCAGTCTGAGAAGGACAGGTAAGGTTTCAGAAAAGAAGAGATCATGCTTTCAGAAACTCTTAACCAGTTTACCTAAATGGAGGACATTCTTAGATGATGAGGCACTTATCTGAAGTCACCTAATAACATACCAACAAATCTAGAGCAGGGACTAAAACACAGGTAAGGTGGAACTCAGTGCTTCATCTATGTTGCTATACTTTAGAGCTGAAGTAAAGACCTTGCCCACGTCTTCATGCTCTAAGTCTTGGCCTCCTTTCCTTCTCTCCTCAGAAGTGCTAATATTGGGACTTAAATTTTATATGGAATTTACTTAGGGGACTGAATATCCCAAGCTCAAACATCCCTTACCAAAATGTCATTAAGATAGAGGCTAAACTGAATAGCAGAAAAAGCCTCCAAAAAGTAGCTTAAGTATGTCAGAATTTTATTTCTTGTTTACATACTAGTGCAAATACAAACAGTTCAAGATCAATAGGAACTAAAATGTCTATTCAGATTGTAGTCATTCCCAGCTATCAAGAAAGGGGAAGTAAATCCTGGGTAAGCAGCATTGTTTGTGAGGCAATGACTTGAAGTTGTATACATTACTTTCTCTTATACCCCATTATCCTGAACTTATTCATATGGCCATACTTAACTGCAAGAAAGTCTGGGAAGTGTAATCTCTGGTTAGGCAGCAATGTGCTCAGATAAAACCTAGGTGATTCTATTACTAAAAAGGAAGGAGGGAAAAATGGAAAGTATGGTCAGTCAGTCAGTCAGTTCAGTCTCTCAGTCATGTCCGACTCTTTGCGACCCCATGAATCGCAGCACGCCAGGCCTCCCTGTCCATCACAAACTCCCGGAGTTTACTCAAACTCATGCCCATTGAGTCGGTGATGCCATCCAGCCAACTCATCCTCTGTCGGCCCCTTCTCCTCCTGCCACCAATCCCTCCCAGCATCAGGGTCTTTTCCAATGAGTCAACTCTTTGCATGAGGTGGCCAAAGTATCGGAGTTTCAGCTTCAGCATCAGTCCTTCCAATGAACACCCAGGACTTATCTCTTTCAGGATGGACTGGTTGGATCTCCTTGCAGTCCAAGGGACTCTCAAGAGTCTTCTCCAACACCACAGTTCAAGAGCATCAATTTTTCGGTTCTCAGCTTTCTTCACAGTCCAAATCTCACATCCATACATGACCACTGGAAAAACCATAGCCTTGACTAGACGGACCTTTGTTAGCAAAGTAATGTTTCTGCTTTTTAATATGCTATCTAGTTTGGTCATAATTTCCCTTCCAAGGAGTAAAAGTCTTTTAATTTCATGGCTGCAGTCACCATCTGCAGTGATTTTGGAGCCCCAAAAAATAAAGTCTGACACTGTTTCCACTGTCTCCCCATCTGTTTCCCATGAGGAAACTATTGTACAGTTTAGCAATGTCTGCTATCATTTATTTTTGGTGGTCTCACTACCCTTTGCCAATTATTTGTGTTGGTTGTTGAAGGTTGAAGGCTTCTTGCTAACTTGTTCTGCAACTTTGAAAAAATGAATTCCCTTTTCTGGTTTCTGGTTTACTCATCTTTCAAGTGATGTGGTATAATTGAAAGAACTTGACCAGACTTTAATCCAAGCCCTGGTTCCCCTTCTGGCTGACTGTCAATGAAGATAAGTCCTGTCATCACTGAATCGCAGGATTCTACCTTTAGGATGTACACACCTCATCAGTCTATTGGAAATGCCAAATGATAAAATGAATAATATAGCTCTTTGTAAATAGGAAAACATCTCGTAATGAGAAATCTGTAGGATTTCATTTTTTTCCTATCTATCTCCATCCCTCTCCCACCAGCAACAGAAGCAGTTAGTATTCTCCTACCATCTGTACCTTGTCCTTTGTCAGACTAATTTCATCTAAAACATCATTAAGACTGGAGCTGGCATTCAGGGTTTGATTCTTATCCTAGTGTTTTTACCATATTAATTTTACTATAAATTCCTAACTAGATGATGGCAAACAAAGGAACATAAATAAATATTGAAATCTACCATTTTTAACTGCAGATATGCAGCCAAGGTGGATAATCTGACATAGGAATAGGGCTCTCCTAATATCTGTGCCATGCAGTTGAGTCTGATTTTGCTTTCCCATATCTGAAAATGAGAGGTTAAAGGCCAGGTGCTCATACTACTCATTGGATTCCTCTAGTTATGGTCACATCTTCCTGAGCAACAAAGATGGACTCCTGGGTTCAAGATACAAGAAAGCTGTATTCAGAGAGTATACTGATGGTACATTCAGGGTCCAGCGGCCAAGGACTGGATCAGAGGAACACTTGGGAATCTTAGGTAAGGGAATTCCACTTCCCTCCTAGTGTCTAGAAGCCTGTGATGCTCCTAGGGAGGTTGTGTCATATCAGGAAGCCCGCTCCACTCCTCATTATCCATTTTGTTTATGACATACTGGAAATGTGGTCATATTTTATAAATCATCCATGAAAATAAGCAATCAAATGGAGCTAATTCATGAATTCTGCAGCAATCTGAACCAGGTATTTCTAGGCCTCTGTATCTTGGGATCTAAAATAGTGATACAATTTTTTAAATTCTAAAGGCAAGAGAACTTAAGAGTATCAAAAAGTGGGAAAAGTGGTACAGGGAACCAGTATTACCCTTACACCCTTGCAATTATTGCTTCAGTTTCATAACTTTTATAGGAGCCAATGAGCTTCCTCATTCTTATCATCATACAGAAGATATCCACTGGTCCTTGAAGGGAATCCTCTCTTATTCCTTGCCAACAATGATTCCACAGAATTCTGATTATCTAGAACCTTGGGCTATTATACAAAGAGAGGTGGGATGGAGGTGGGGATAATTGGAGGCATAATCTTGTTGAAGTACCCTCATCATGTGGGTAGCAGTATCAGTTGAAGGGCTTCTAAATTTAAAAATGGAGTCAGTCATGACTCTCAGTCTTGGGGCCCTTTCACAGGGTAAACCCTTAATTCTAGGTAGCTCCTGTGTATATCCCTTTCTTTAATGCCCCTGTTTCACTATTCCACTAATGAGATTTTTTTCTTCTTTTGCATTTACTAGGTCCACTTATCAGAGGAGAGGTTGGTGATATTCTAATCGTGGTGTTCAAGAACAATGCCAGCCGCCCCTACTCTGTGCATGCCCATGGAGTGCTAGAATCTAGCACTGGTTGGCCACTGGCTGCTGAGCCTGGTGAGTGGGAACACTTAGTGAAGGAACATAGGAGCTGAAGCATCTCTGTTTCAGTCTCTGGCTTGTTCCTTTTTTTTAAAGTATATTCTTAGCGAACAGAAACAGGAATATTTACCAGAACTAAGCCATACTCTGAATTTGTCTCTATGAAATATTCATTCTATCAATCTCAGAACAAACTGCCTACCTTAGGTTTTTTGCTTCATCAAAGACATACTCGACACTTGTTACACATGGAGCCTTATACTATCCTTAACCCTGAATACAGATTGAGCTTCTAGCCTCTCTAGATCTGGCTATATGTAATCTGAGCTCTTAATCATGACTAGAGAGTGGCTTGTCCCAGACCACAAACTGATCTTTAAGCCTAGTCATAGATAAAGTTCCTGTCTTCTTAGTACAGACTGAATCCTAACTGCAGTTACATATTAAAATTCTAATACTAAATATAGAGTTACCATAATCTTGACCACATTATCTTCTATTCATTCATTCATTCATTCATTGAATAAACACTTACTGGGGGCCTACTGGGTGAGAAACAATGTTAGAAGTTATGGACGTTTTGGAGAATAATACTTGTTCATACTCTAAAAAAAACTTGGGCTATTATTATATAGAGATAAGTAAACTGGTAATTATAATGTAGTGTTTTAACTCTTAAATAGGGACTTTAAAAATGTGCCATGGATTTTAGAATAAGATACCTAATCTAATGTTTGGATGGTCAAGGATGGTTTCCCAAAGTAGGTGATATGTTAGCTGAGATCTAGATCAGTAATTCTCAAACTTTAGCATGCATCAGAATCACCTGAAAGACTTGTTAAATCATGGATTTCTTGGAATAACTCCAGCACCTTTGATTCAGTAAGTCTGGAATAAGGTTCAAGAATGCTATCACTCACAAAAGTTACCAAGTGATTCTGATGTTGCTGGGTCAAGAATTACACTTTAAGAACCACTAATCTAAAGAACTGAACTGAACTGAACTGAATCTAAATGATGATAAATAAGTATACAGGTAAAGGGATAGTGTGGAACAAAAGCAGGGGAAAGGAAGCTCCAGTTGTGGGGAATGCAATATGTAAAGATTCAGTAGTAAAATAGGTGAAATTTGAAGTTGACCAAAGGGTTCCATAAAGATAAAGTAAATAAAATCAATGGGATTTGATTAATGAATATGGAACATGAGAAGGAGAAGGATTCTTGAATGGTAACCACATATTTGGAGGAAAATCCTGAAATGTTTCCCAATTTTTGGTCTGTACAACCAGGTATAAGGGATATCATTCAACAATATAAAAAACATAGGCAGCAACTAATTTGGGATGGGGGAAAATGGGTGATGATGAGTTCACTTTTGAATTTCTTGAATTAGAGATGTCTATAAGACAACTAAATAGAGATATCTAATAGATATAAAGATCTGAAGCTCAAAAGAAGGGTATTATCTGAGGGAATAAATGTGAAAAGCATCAACATTTAAGTAGTAATTGAAGACAAAGAAATAAGCAGTCACCCTGGAAGAGTATATTCAATGGGACAGTAGGAATCCTAGAATAAAACCCTAAGGAAAATAAATTTTAAGGGAGGTACTAGTTGAAAATTAAACGTGAGAAAAAGTGAGCAAAATGTTAGAAGAAAAACCAGATAAGATGGTACCAAAGATGTTAAAAAGATCATTTCAAAGATGAAGAGGTCAATGGTTTTAGCTTCCTTGGAGAGGTTAAATAATGTAAAATTTCCCATTGGATATAGCATCAGAGGAGTCGCTGGTGCTTTTAATAAATTGGTGGGAAAAGAAGCCAGATTACAATGGACTAAAGAATAATTGGGAGATCTGGGAGTGAAACAGTGAGTGTAACTTAATTTTAAAACTTAAACAGAGCAATTTCAGGTGATAAGATAATGGTCTGTAGTTTAACCAAGGGCCAAAGGAAAGTGGGGGTTTCCTAGGTGGTGCTATTGGTAAAGAACCCACCTGCCAATGCAGGAGACTTAAGAGATGTGGGTTCAATCCCTGGGTTGGGAAGATGCCCTGGAGGAGGGCAAGGCAACCCACTCCAGTATTCTTGCCTGGAGAATCCCACTAACAGAGGAGTCTGGTGGGCTACAGTTGATAGAATCTCAAAGAGTCAGACACAACTGAAGCGACTTGGCACACAAAGTAAAGTGGAGGTGAAGGTTACTGGAATTGAGTAGCCCAAGGCACTAAAAGGCTAGAGTTTTAGATGAGCTATCCATATAGACTTTACAGTCACTCAGAAGAGTGGTGGAGATTGACGTGGAAAAGAAGATGGTGATCCAGGTACTAAAATAATCAATAAATGACTAAAAAGAGAAAGGGGATGCATTGGAAGCAAGGAAAACATTTAAAAGGCTGTTGTAATAGTACATACAAGTGATGATAATGACTTTATCAAAAGTTGTAGGAAATGAGGATTGAGAGAATTAGTTGGGTTTGAGGAATGTTAATGGATAGTCAGGGCTTCCCTGGTGGCTCAGTAGTAAAGAATCTTCCTGCAACACAGGAGACATTGGTTCAATCCCTGTGTCAGGAATATCCCCTGGGGAAGGAAATGGCAACCCACTCCAGTATTCTTGTCTGGGAAATCCTATGGACAAAGGAGACTAGGGACTACAGTCCATGGGGTTGCAAGAGTTGGGCACGACTTAGTGATTGAACCAGCACCACCAATAGATAATCAATAGGACATGATGATTGTACAGGTATTAGGCAGGCAATAAGATAGTAGAGTTAAGGATAATAAACTGATTTTTTGATTAAGCACCTAGATGGTGGTACCAATAAGAAAGATAAATAAATAAAAAGCAAGAAGTATGGGGTATTTTATTGGTTTATTTATTTAGAGAGGAAAATATTATGTTTATGGCAGAAAGTGAAGAGGAACTGAGGAGCCTCTTGATGAAAGTGAAAGAGGAGAATGGAAAATCTGGCTTAAAACTCCACATTCAAAAAACTAAGATCATGGCATCTGGTCCCATCACTTCATGGCAAATAGATAGGCAAGCAAAGGAAACAGTGAGAGGCTTTCTTTTCTTGGGCTCCAAAATCACTGCAGATTGTGACTGCAGCCATGAAATTAAAAGACGCTTGCTCCTTGGAAGAGAAGTTATGACAAATCAGGACAGCATATCAAAAAGCAGAGACATTACTTTGCTGACAAAAGTCCATCTAGTAAAAGCTATGGTTTTTCCAGTAGTCATGTATGGAAGTGTGTTGGATAATAAAGAAGGCTGAGTGCCGAAGAATTGATGTGCTTGATGTGGTATTGGAGAAGACTCTTGAGAGTCCCTTGGACTGCAAGGAGTTCTAACCAGTCCATCCTAAAGGAAATCAGTCCTGACTATTCATAGGAAGTTCTTGTGCTGAAGCTGAAGTTCCATACTTTGGCCACCTGATTCGAAGAACTGACTCATTGGAAAAGACTCTGATGCTTGGAAAGATTGAATGTAGGAGGAGAAGAGTACAATAGAGGCTTAGATGGGTGGATGGCATCACCAACTTGATGGACATGAGTTTGAACAAGCTCTGGGGAGTGGTGATGGACAAGGAAACCTGGTGTGCTGCAGTGAATGGGGTTGCAAAGAGTCAGACACGACTGAGCAACTGAACTGGACTGACTTGAATGCAGCTGATAATTTTAATCATGTCCTTCAAAATGTTAAGTTCAGGTTTTTTTTTTTTTGTTGTTTTTTTGTTTTTTTGCTAGCCAGCACTGCTCTGGGCTTCCTTTATAGCTGAGTGGTACAGAGTCTGCCTGCAATGCTGGAGACCTGAGTTTGATCCCTGGTTTGGGAACACTCAGAAGGGACCTCTTTGACCCAAGTAGTAAAACCATAAAGCTCATTCAGTCATGGCAGTTGCTCTGTACATTCATAAAATGACACAAAATGACTTATTCAGTTTTCCTGATATGTAATCATTCAAAGTGGTTTCCCTGGTAGCTCAATTGGTAAAGAATCCCCCTGCAATACAGGAGACTCTGGTTCAATTTCTGAATTGGGAAGTTACCCTGGAGAAGGGATAGGCTACCCACTCCAGTATTCTTGGGCTTCCCTGGTGGTTCAGTTGGTAAAGAATTCTGCCTGCAATGCTGGAGACCTGGGTTTGATCCCTGGGTTGGGAACATCCCCTGGAGGAGGGAATGGCAACCTACTCCAATATTCTTGCCTGGTGAATTCCCATGGACAGAGGAGCCTGGTGGGGCTATAATCCATGGGGTCACAAAGAGCTGGACATGACTCAGTGACTAAGCACAACACACAGCAACACAATAATTCAAAGACTTGAATATTTCTGCAGCTATGGTGTTGGTTGGCAACAGAAGAGCATATAAAACATCCTCCTGCACACCCTCCTGCAAATATATCACACAAAAATAAGCACTGTTGCCCTGTTGTCAACATCAGTAGACTTGTCCACCTGGATTGCTTACCTTGTGATGTGTGCTGTGCTGTGCTGTATTTAGTCTCTCAGTCATGTCCACTTCTTTGCAAATCTATGGACTGTAGCCTGCCATGCTCCTCTGTCCATGGAGATTCACCAGGCAAGAAAACAGAAGTGGGTTGCCATACCCTCCTCCAGGGGATCTTCCTGACACAGGAATCGAACTGGGGTCTCCTGCACCACAGGCAGATTCTTTACCAGCTAAGCTACCAGGGAAGCCCAGTGACTCATTAAAGTAAGTAAAGTAAAATTGCTCAGTCATGTCCAACTCTTTGTGACCCCATGGACTGTAGCCTACCAGGCTCCTCCCATGGGATTTTCCAGGCAAGGGTACTGGAGTGGGTTTTCATTTCTTTCTCCAGAGGATCTTCCCCACCCAGGGATCGAACCCAGGTCTCCCACATTGTAGGCAGATGCTTCTACCATCTGAGCCACCAGGGAAGTCCATGACTCATTGATCCTCTCTAAAAATTGTAGCTCAGTGGCCTCTGCTATTTCATCAGTTACTCTAGTTTTGGTGCTAGCTGAA